GCAAACACACAAAGCCACACACATACCCACAAACAGACAATTTTTTACTTTTTTATATATATAGATAGTTCCAGCACTGTGTGAGGTCATGAGGCTGCAGACTGCTTAATCTGTCAACTGGCGTTGGGGTAACTCACAGATCGCAGAAGAGGACGTGGTGTGTGGCTCATGTAAGATTTCCTTTGCCAAATGTCCAATTTTACAAACAAAATCTTCTTTGGCACTTGGCATCGAATATTATATTATACAATACGGTGTACATCTCTCTATTTTTTTTAAATTGATGTGTGTAGGATTCGGCACAGATTGGCGTGGGATTACGTGCACGGCGCGGGGAGCGACGCGTGCTTTGATGTTTAATGTATTTGGGGTTCCCTGTCACTGCCAGGGAATTGAAAACAACCCCGCCTTCTGTGAAATTCTTGCCTGGAAAGTGAAAAAAACACAAAAATAAAACTCACGGGGGCGATATGGCAAGATGATTGTGATACAGGGAATATTCATGTGTGACTAGGCCGCGTGTGGATATGTTTTGGTTGTCGCTCCTTTGGCATTCGTCGGTCTTTGATCCTGGTAGATTGTAAAAGGGAAGAACCGGGAGAAATGCTATGCTGGTGCTTGGCCTCTAATCCAGCAAAATGGATGAAGGGTTGGCGAATTGGGGAGGGATGGAGCTTTGATGTGTATGAGACACCCACTTGTTTGGCACCAAGGTCTCTTAAGAAGTCAGAATCAGAATCGTTATTTAGACTGGAGGAATCCGATGAGCTATGGAGCTCCTTTTCACAGATGTCCAGTAATTAAATTAATATCCTTAACTCGACCATAGGAAAACAAACATCTGCCTGTTGATGCACATAAAACATTGCCTCCTTTGTAACAGTGTTATGGGTTTAAGGCAATAAACCAACTCGGTTACGTGACACGTCTGAGGGAGACCACTAACATCTTAGTGGTCTCCCTTTCTATGCATTATCTTTGGGCACCGATTTCCTCGTACATCCCAAGCAAGGAGTAGTCTAAAAAAATGTGCAGACTCGTGTTTTTTTAGAGTAAATCATTAATAATTGTTGTCATCATATACTACATGTGATATTCTTTTATACCCAAGTCATAAACTTTCCAGGAAACAGTGCGTGTACAATAATAGCGGTTGACTTCTGCCATAGGAGTGTGGAATTTCTACCATCATATCGTTAATGATGAACTTTTTATCATTGTTTTGTCGCGCTTTATAGTCTGTCAGCGTTTAAATTGAATTATTCACTGCATTTCGTTGACAAGGAATGAAGCGTACTTACACACATTCTGTTACAAGACCTGCCAGAAGTTGAGAGGGGCGCCTGTTGTTACCAATGAATGCGCGCACAGCCTCCTATGCGCAAGTTTCATATTTTTTCTTTCCTCTATATATTTGACGCAGCTGTACCTGCTGGCAGACTGTTGAAACATATAACAATGTTGGCCTGTGATGACTTCTGCTATATATAGGTTATATTGTTTAAAGGCAATCATAAGGTCATTTCAACCATGGGGGCGGATGTGATTGCTTGATTTTTTTGGCCCTATCTCTAGTGCGCTTACACAAAGACAAAGATCTCTAGGGTAGCCGCAGTGTCCACTGGGACAGGTGCCGGTAGCGAGCACCTATTAAATCCGGCATTGCATACGAGCGAATGGTGTGGCCAGCACCACACCCTGATGTCCGTACCTCCCGAGTGGTGATGTTTACACAACATACCAGGTACTTATTTAAGGCTGAGTGGTCCTAGAGGATGCTCAGTGAGCTCTCCCATACCTTGTCCTCCTCCAAGTGGTCCTTCTGATCCTCGACCTCCTAATCCTCCTATTCCTGATCCTTCACCTCCTGGTCCTCCTCAAGGTCCTGCTCCTGATTCTCGTCCTCCTGATCCTCTTCATCGTCCTCCTCCTGATCCTCCCACTCCTCCTCGTTTTCCTGGTCCTTCTGGGTGCTGGCAACTGCTTCACCATCCCCTATAGTCCTGCACTCCCTCTGACCCCTACCATCCCCATCCCCGTCCCGCACCTCCGATTATCACGGTTGGCTACGTACGGTGCGAAAGAAGTTCGACATACATACAGGACATATTCCAGTACCACTTGTCACTTGACACTCCTTTTCGTCTTTTGAGTTCTCACCTGGTTAAAAAAACGTAAATTTTAACTTGAAATACCGTATCCAAACAGGTTGTCATAGAGCCTTGCGGGGCTGTGTGATCGGCAGTAGTGGGCAGTATAGATGGTTGTTTAGCAAAGTCCATTTTGGTACCAAACTTGTCTATTGCTCTCCACCTGAACCACAACTACCAGTGACTACCAGCATTGTGGAGTACTGCACTGTCCAATAGCTCCCCCAATGACCAGCGTGGCCCCGTCCAGCGGTGGATTGACAAAGCGGGGCGCACACATGCACACAATACACTCCTCCTCTTGAACACTCATTTGTTTGCTGGCTATTGCAGTTGGTTGTCCAAAGAAATATGTGCTTTCTTAGGGTGGGATCAGGAGAGATGGCGGGAGGGGGGAAAACACGAGAGAGCCACCGTTGATGCGACATTGAGGTGCTCACGAGGAAAAATTGGTACATTGCACACTATGTGTGTACATCTGGCTGAGTGGTGCTGTGGTTGGAGTGCTTGACACAGTTCCCATTAGGGTCCAACTCTGCCCATCCTCTCTCTGCCATCGATAACATACTTTGTGTGAAGTCATTTGTTATTTTCTGTGGTATACTGGTCCCTGCCATAGGAATGTGGAATTTACATCACTGCCTGAGTATTTCCAAGACATGAATCCTGCCCCACACATGTTTTAGAAGAGAGATACCTTGACATGGTCTGCGGAATGCATTTTCAAACAAGACCGCCATGCGTAGCAAATGACACAGATTTCACAGACGCATTAAGCTTGTGAAAAAAGACAAATTACTTCACATTTTAATAGCACCTATTACTGTACTGTCTGACGTGTCTCGCATGTTCTATGGGAATTGAGAGCTGTAATCGTCATGCTCCTCAACGTTGTGGTGTGAGACATCACATCTCAAAAATACATTATTTTTACTTACACATTCACCTTTTTTGATTCCTGCTTGGAGTATTTTTGCATTGGGGTATAATACCCTGCAAAGTAGACTAATTTTCTGAATGGGAATTCACTTGGCTAGAGATAAGAAGCCAGCAATGCTTCGTTTTTACAGCATGTTATATGCGTGCAAAAATCTGGCTGTTTCCACTTTGCTGGGTCCCAACAATTTCAAATTTGGCCCGTGACGAGACATGACACGCACCAGAACTGTGCCGGTAAGACACTCGTGTGGTAGTATGTCAGCCCCATTTACCGGGGATGACCCTGCAAAGAGTCGTGATATCATCGGGTCACCATGACAACGAAACGCACATATCGCTCGGCCACCTGGCCTTGTTGTTAAAAAAATGTATATACAAAAAATTTCGAAAAATTTAGATAAAGGCCACAGATAGCCTAACGTAGCCCGTGTTTTTGTTAGACTTTCTCAAAAATAACAATTTAATATCACGGTTTACCAGCTGCCATTCCCCCTTGACCTTGCCTAGAGACCTGTCCAGTGAAGGGTTGAGTGAGTCGACCTTAGTGAGTAGTGGCAGGCGGTGCTCGGGGGGAGATGACGGGGAGTGAGGGGTGATGGGACGGGATGGGACGGCATGAGGCGGGGGGGGGGGTGACGCCATCTGCTTTATGGAGATGTGTCTTGACCTGCCTTGGCACGAGTCAGGACCCAGTACAAATCTAGCCCACTTACAACTGAGAACTGTGGGATGATGAGATGATGCCATCTTTCCCGTAACCACTTCCCAGCATGCCCGAGACTTCCTGTACAAGCCTTGGGATAGCCCTGTTCCCAGTCTCATACCCTTACCATTTGTCTCCTTGGCTGGTATCTTAATAAACATTGTGTACTTGTGTCCGATATGTGTTTCCCCACTCCTCCTGTCCTCCACATCTCCATGTGCCCATCTCGTCCCTACCCCTATCCCCTGTGTCTGGCCACTGACCCTGAGAGTACGCACGGTCACTGGGCAGGAATTTAGGCAAGGTCAGGTTGTGTTCGTCGGGATAGAATGTTTTATAAACTATTGAGTTTACTGGCAGCGTAGCATAAATTAGGAAATGTTGTGTAAAAAAGCCTCAGATTTTTTTGACCTTGTCCTTTACAAGGCCAGGTGGCTGAGCGATTAGGGTTATAAACAAGTCACCCCTCCATGATTTGGGATCACGGTTAGTTTTTTTTAATCAATCCTTTTTTTTCCCATTCCTTTTGTAAAATCAAAATAATCAATTCCTACTCGTGTGATTTAATACTTGTGTCAAATGCGTATTGACTACATTTGGATTGAGTAAATAATTTGTTACTTTCCTGCTGAGCTATGCAAGTGCTGTCACACAGCATCTCATTGTCCATGTTGCTCCATAGATTCCCTACCAGTTCCCGGGTCAAACGATGTAAGAAGGGTGAGCTCTCCATCTCCAAAAAGCCTCCAGACCACAGTCCTCACCATGATGTCTGGGACAAAACGTCTGAAATCATGGGGGGGCATCACTCAGGATAAGTGGAGTGGTCGGGCAGTCATTAGCGCATTCCACGATGAACCCAGAGACCTGAGTTCGATTCCTCGCCATAGCCAACTGATAACTGAAACTGTCCTTCTTCTGCACGAAGCCGCATTGACCAGCGCGGTAAACCATGGTCAAACAATCCTCATCACTGAGACACACAGGAAGGCCTTCATCCAGCAGTAGATTGATAAAGGTCAGTACGTTATACATTATTATATCGCTTATAAAGAACCCAGGTCTGACCTATATTAAAACGTGCCCTGGAACGACAAGGCACCCAATGCTTGCCTGTTCTCTTGCCTCCAGTGTGCTGCTGTGGCCACCCACGTGCGTGTGCTGATTGTTGCGATCGCTGTGTCTCTTCTGTGCATGCGTGCGTGCAGTGATGGACTTTGGGTTGTTCTTGGCGGACGAGGACCCCAAGAAGGGCATCTGGCTGGAGGGAGAGCGCAATCTGGATTACTACATGCTGCGGGACGGGGTGAGTCGCACTGCTCCCCCACCCCCCACCCCTTTAAAGGAATATTCCACTGCCGACACACACATCTGAAAGTGTGTTTTTTTTTGTGCTTGAATGTTCAATGAATGTTGTTGCGCTGTGGAATGTTAAAGGTGCGGTAGAAATGCAATTTTCTCCTCGTGACATTGAATATGTGCAGAATGTCAGTTCAGGCGTCTGCATGCATTTGACAGTGACGTGGAATAGCGGTAGCGCACTCGCCCCTCGTGGCCGAGGTGCACGGTTCGATTCCGGCGGCTGCCCTGATTATTACTGCGGGTGTAAATAACCATGGTAATACTACGTGATGGCCACTGCACAGCGTTAAAGGATCTCCTGACGTCGTTCGCAAGAGTAGGCCATTGTGTGCCAGCGTGAGGGTCCTAACTTGCCAGGCTTGCAAATTTCCGGCAAAATACTTAATTGGGATTACACAAAGCAACCATTGCCCCCCTCCTAGTAAATCAATGCCCCAGGTCACTCTTGAAAATGAGTATCTTTAGTTCTCACTGGGTTTAACTAAATATACTTGAAACTTGATGCATAAGTGTGTAGTTGGTGGTGTTCACCTCTCGACTTGTAAATAAGTCCACAATCCTATTGCAGGAGATATTGTATGAAATAAGAACATCACTTGTTGACTTCCTTCAAAGTTGTACTCATTCTATTCATACATAATGGATTTGAATTGGCAACCTGATTTCGAGTCAAACTGCATGCTCAAAATGTATATAAGCTGTATGCCCAAACTTATACTGTAAGCATATATATTATGCATATATGCAATGGCGGAGCCAGGATTTTCAGGTAAGGGGGGAAACCCCTCCAGCAATGAAAAATGATCGGAGTTGTTAGTAAGTAAGGACTTGTTCCTTACTTTTTATTAGACGCGTGTGCGGCGATGGCGCGGCCATCGATCGAGGGTCGAATTTGAACCGCGTTGTGTGATCGGCATCGCGCTCGCTGAAGGTGTTTGCCTTCAGGGAAGTCGTGTGCTGTATACGCAACTGCGCACAATTCTGAGTCACTTATAACTGCTTTGCCGTTACTTATTGCCAATTATGGACTCAGAATATTGTCCTATCATCTCAGAGTCCCTGGCACGCAATAATATGCTACACAGTGGCAGTGGGGGTTGCAAAAAACCAATGATCCAATCGAAATTAGGGATTTCGATTGGATCATTTAGGGATTTCGATTGGATCATTAGGGATTTCGATTGGATCATTAGGGGGGGGGGCACGTTCCACCCATCCCCCACTGGATAACTAGACTATTTATATAAAAAAAATAGATAATTTGATTATTTTTATTTTTTTATTTTATTTTTTCACCTACGTGACTTTACCGAAAGAACCAAAGAGTAAGCTCCGATAATATATACATTGTCTTTGAAACTGATTGGCCTACACCAGAGACGGCCTTCTTTATGGCCTAGTCTCACCAGTGTCAGATCAGCAAACAGTACAAATACAATGCAAGTCTCAAAGCTTTTAAAGCTCGGGTTGAGCAGCGACATCATGGGACCTTTTTTTTAAATCCTTTATATTAAGTTCACTTGCTTGCTTGCTTGCGCGCTTACGACCATGCAAATCTTTCGGTCGTTTTTTACCCACTTCCCGTGATCCAATCGAGCTGACATTTTGCACACAGACTCGTTGTGCGTGACAATGTATTTTCGTGAAAAAAAGATTCCAAAATTTTACACTTTTTAGGAATTTTTTAAAATTTAATTACCAATTGCTTAATGGTGGCAGGCAATCATCTGACCCATAGGTGGCAGCCATCTCAAGCCAGAGGACGAGAGGACTCTAGCCGCCACGCATATAAAGGATTTCTAGTGAAAAACTTTGTTTTTACGGGTTAATTGTTCTGTCTCTGGTGTAGTCCAATAATTTTCAAAGACAATGCATATATTATCAGAGCTTGGTTGTTTGCATGTTGATCACAAGTACGTGTGGTAAATGCAGACTTGATTTCTCGCAAAATCTATCTATTTGTTGTTTGAACATCTTAACACCTAATTTTATTGCCAGAAAGGGTAAAACCTATTGTTTATTTTTCCATATTTTCTGGAACCAGCAAAAAAGGTCCCACAGATAGTGTTTTATTGCCCACAGAGACTGCCGCGTCCTCACAGGCAGCTGGGTTTCTCTCCCGCAGGACCTGCTCGAGTACAAGCGCAAGGTGCGCCCTCTCAAGGTGCGCATGCTTGATGGCATGATCAAGACTGTGATGGTCGACGACTCCAAGACGGTCGGGGATCTGCTCATCACCATCTGCACGCGCATCGGTGATCTAACCGCGACCATTGTAACGGATTTTATTATCGCTGATGAAACATTGATATAAACAAGCACGGAGAATATTCAGAAGGGCTGTAAAGATTCACCACCCCCCTACACCCCTGCAATTTTAAATGTATTTTGTGATCCAGCGTCACAATTCAATAGATGAAATTAAGGTACCGCAAGTGAGCGGGCTCCTAAGAGCCTGTGGATGAGAGAAAGAGCTGTAGCGTAATGGGAGACAGGGGTCAAGCTGAATGATTCTTCACAAGGGCATAGGAGGGAGCCATGCTAATTCCCAGTAAATCGTGCACAGGACGATATGAAGTAAGGACTCGCTAATGGAGTGAACTACGGGAGGAACTATTACAAAGAGAGAACCTTTTATGACTGAAATGTGTTCTTGGATTTGTTCACAGTCCGAGCTATAAGTCCTCATCATGGGCATTGCTCAGCATAATTGACCTCTTCCTCCTGAAAAACAGAGCATGGTATATTGAAGCCCTGAGCCAGTTCTGCCAATTCAGCCCATCATCTTTACTTGGTCCATAAAGTGAGGACCAATTTGTATAAATCTATCTTACCACTCTGTCACAATCCAAGTGCCCTGAGCTAATATCCTCGTCAGGGATTGACTTGTCCTGTAATATATCTGGGGTTGATAAAATAAGTACCCCTTTGTGTGAAATCCAAAGTGGTCATTCAATGATCCATATTTGTATTTGGCATATAACAACGTAGGTTTATGCCAAATTACATGCCATTAACCCTTCGCCATTACCACACAATTGTCACATTTACAACACATTAATTCAACTCACAAATCAATCAATCATTAAAACTTTATTTCTCTAGCACTATTCGTGCAAAAACTGCAATACATAGTGCTTCACAGGCATGAACAATAATAGTGAAATTGTAGGCAAAATTAAATCACGCAACAAATTATATCAAAGATAATAAAAATAACACATTAAGAACATCGTAATTAAAAGCAAGTTTAAAAAAGTAAGTTTTTAGATATATTTGAAAAGTGCCTAATGATTCTGAAGCCCTCAGATCCCCTGTCAGGCTGTTCCAAATACGTTGATTAAACTGTAACAAATAAAGCTAAAGGCTTCTCGTGACTGAATTTGCATAGACTTAACTACCGCCGTATGAATGTGGATTTGCTATTACTGGTTCAAATCTGCAACTGTAGACGAGCACTACCAGTGCTCGTTAGACATGTTTAATTTCACTCATGAATCAACATTCACTCACATCGCGAAAAAAAACCCCACCGCATTATAATTCCATCGTTTCGAGCTCTTCATAGTTCCGTCACCAACGGCCATAATAACAGGATCACCGTGGAGTGCGGAGGAGAAGCTGCATCCGTCACTCGGAACAATCCTGGACTGGGCCTTGGTCAAAATGGGGTTCGGTCTCTCCCCGTGTGGCAGGCATCACAAACTATGACGAGTACTCGTTGATCTGGGAGGGTGGCGGCGAGGAGAGGAAGGAGGATGGCCCCACGTCGCCGCGCACGGGCACGCTGAAGGGTGGCACGCCGCGCACGGGCACGCTCAAGGGTGGCACGCTGCGGTCGGGCACGCTCAAGAAGGACCGCACGCTGCTGCGCGACGAGAAGAAGATGGAGAAGCTCAAGCATAAGCTGCACACGGACGACGAACGTGAGTCTGTCGTGCGCCGACCGGGAACCTTGGACGCGTTGCTTAAGATCCATAATAGAGGTTTTTTTGGGATAGATAGCGTAAATATATAAACGTGTCGTTAAAACCCGCCACCACCCGACACGGCCAACTAGTGAGGGTTGTCGCGTAAACAGAACGCGCCAATTCGTCATTAGTACAGCACACCGGTGTGTTGGAGAGCCAAGCCACAACATTTACAATCCGAGTACGACGTTTCGCCAGTAATTACAACTAGCTTCATCAGGCGACAGACATATTTGTGGAGAAGTCCACCTGTTTCGTTCCTAATAGAGAGGCGTAGATGTGGTGACCACCCTTCTGCACTCTTGCACAATGTGGGGGGGGGGGGGGGGGTTTATTGAGGCAACGTACATTATGCATGTGCATTATGTGAGCCCTTTGAACTTGACCTTCCTGTTTATTGTGTTTATTAAAATAGCCCTACCAACGGTAATCCCTATTGAAGTACGCTGCCCTTTGTAGGCATGCAATTATATCATGTATTATTTGATGATTCGCTTCCAAACAGCACTAAGACGGTAGCTATCCGAACGGTTAAAGTTAAAGATTCCTTTCAATTAGTCTTGGCCAGTAGCAGCTAGTTTTGCACAAAACTTCAACATTATGAAAATCAATTGAGTGTTCTTGTTGTCACGCGTGTTCTACTACTGCTGACAGTTGCATTTGGGAGAATTTAATATTTCTCTGATGTTCTTTTAGTCTCGTGCTGATCATCCATCCTGTTTGCCCAACGTAACATTTACCACACGTGCAGTTCATCCTGTACACACCTTCTGTTGATCGCTTCGGTAGTATATCTTTTGTACCAGATATAAAATTCTGTATTTTATGTACCGTGCCAAATCTGACTCGGATGTTTTGTTTTTTCAAACATCCGACTAGTTTATCAGTTACTCCCGCAATGTACGGTATTTTGATCGTTTTAATTATTTGGGCAGTTTCAATGCTCTTGTTATTTGATTTGGTTTTGGTATTCAAAGCCCTGTTGATTTATGCATTATTGTAACCGCTCATTTGCAGCACTTCTTTAACATGTTGAATTTCACTTCTCAGACTGTCACCATCTGACACTTTCTTAGCTCGATGAATGAGCGTCTTGATAAGAGCAGATTTCTGTGCGGGGTGATGGTGTGACTCTGCATTCAGATAGGCGTCAGTATGCGTTTTATTTCGGTAAACACTGTGTGTTATTTTATCATTTCTACCCCGTCTGAGCAAAATATCCAGAAATGGTAGAGTTCTGTCAGCTTCCACTTCCATGGTGAACTGGATGGATGGGTTTTGCAAGTTGAGATGATTTAGAAATGCGTTCAGTGTATCTTTGCCGTGTGGCCAGACCACCAATGTGTCATCCACATATCTAAACCAAGCAGATGGTGTTAGTGTGCTTGAAGCTATTGCTTTTGTTTCAAAGTCTTCCATGTACATATTCGCTATCACAGGAGACAAAGGAGAGCCCTTTGCTGCTCCTTCCTTTTGTTTATAGAAGCCACCTTAAATTTCGATTTAAAGCTTTCGTGACTGCAGGGATTCATCTTCTTGGTTCTTTCGGTAAAGTTACGTAGAATGGAAATAAAAAAATAATAAAAATAAAACATTATTTTATTATGTTTTATTTTTATTATTTTATTATTTCCATTCTACGTGACATTATTTTATTATGTTTTATTTGTATTATTTTATTATTTCCATTCTACGGGACTTTACCGAAAGTACCAAGAAGAAGAAGCCACCTTGCCACAAGAAGTAGGTGTTCTCTAGACAGTGTTCAGCTCGTCTTGGGATATCTTTGGCTAAACTTTTGTTAGTTAACAGAGTGTCGAGCAATTTAATTGACTCGTTGATCGGAACCCTCGAGGTAAAATCAAAACTTACGAGAATATCATTAGGATTAAGCTTCATTTCTTGAATTATATTTACGAGATGATCAGAGTTTCTGATGAACGAAGAGGTCCTACCGATGTAGGGGCTGTATTTGGTTGCAAAAAGCCTGCGTGTTAAACTAAGCTACTTAAGATATTTTTTGTTTGTAAATATCTGAAGCTTTTTGTGTGCAATTTTCCGAATGCGTTAATCTGGCCCTGGTTACTTTGGAATTGATAAAAGTGAGTCGTGCTTTGCTGGCATTGTCATCATCAACATCAGCTGCAGCCATTATCTATCCACTGTTGGATAAAGGCCTCCCCAAGTTGTTGCCATCCCTCATGTTCTCTTGATGCAACAATTCATGTAGCTCCTGCACGTGGGCTGATCTCATTGTTCCATCTCCGCGGTGGTCATCTTCTCAGGATATGTTCCCTACTTGGGTTATCATTCTGCTGTTGGTCTCCATAGTGATGCTGAATTTCCACCGGTAGATCAGGGTCAGCGATGAAAATTAGTAGTGCGGTGTGTTACTGGGATAACCCCAGAGATTACTAGTATCTTACAATTAGTTTCTTACTGAATCCTATGAGTGTACCAGCCCAGTGGATGCGAGGTTTGCTTTGAAAAAGTGTTCAGTTTATGTTTTCTGATTGCTCAGCGTTTTATAAGTAATGTAACATGACTCCATATTGATTGCAGTATTAGTGGCACGATGCATATGCATTGTATGCTGGTATCCTTCCATTAAACCAAAGTGGCCTTTGACTAAATCGCATAGGGTGTGGCCAGTCTCATTAGATCTTGGAAGCCAAGCAGCTTTCAGCCTGTGGACAGTGCATGGATTGGTGACCGCCATGCATAACGTGACTACGTGGTGGGCAGCGAGGGGCAGTGCAGAAAAATACATTGTTGTACTGTACTTATATGTTCCGTATCTCTGCTCCCTGCCTTTACAATCCCGCACTTTCCAGCATGGTTAAATAACTCCCACGACCCACGTGGTGTGGGGTGGCCCTCATCCAGCAGTGGATTGGCTCTACATGCACTGAACATGATTGTTCCCTGCCATATTTTTTTTTACGCGTGTCATTTTTTTTAATATACAAAACTGCAAAGTAATTATGAAACATCATCAGCTGGCGCGTGATGAATAGCGATAATCTGATTACACTCTGAAAATGGAGCACTAGTTATGGAATGACCAATAACCTGCAACACGGTAATCGTTGCTCTCTGTTGTTGCGCACAGCCCTGCGCGTGCAAGCGCCGCCACAGCTCACGCTCTGTCTGTCATGGGGACTCACTCGAGTGACAAATGCCCGTGCCTCTCATTCACACATGTGGATAGCAAACCCATTACTAATGCTGCGCACATGCATGCACGCACGCACGCACGCGCTCACAATAAACTCGATGCCAAAAACAGCACACCGAAAAAAGAGCAGTTTAAGATTACGGACTCCATCAGGGTCATATTCAAATGCACAGTTGCTGCCTTCATGTCTTTAGCAATGTTCGTTGAGAAATGTTATTTTCTTTGAGTACGTGCGTGTGCGTATGCCTACGTCTGTGTGTGCGCGCGTGTGCTCGCCGTACGTGTGTGTCACAAATTAGCTATTCATTCTAAAATTGGGACGGGGCGGGGGGTGTTTGGCGGTGCGGTGGAATTTAGTTTGAACTGTGTCACGCTGGCATCTGTCGCCGAATAAAAATTTCGAAATAGGCACGCGGCGAGTTAAAATATATAATGATTGGGTAATGAGATGGAAGTCTATGGGGATTTTGTTTCTTTATAGACTGTGCTTCTTCATGAGAATGAAATATCCTTTGTGAACTTTGACTGCCATCAATTTTAAGAGATGAAGGCACAAAGGAATGTGTGTTGGCATGCATACACAAACTATAGCACACGCGCAGAGAATGCTGGTACACAGATATGCAAAGACAAATGTCCCTGTTTCGCCATTTAAGTTATATCAGTGGCGATAACTAATTAACATCACCTTGCCTAATCACGGAGTGTCGTGGTTGACAACCGCATGCGTTTAGTTTCCTTTGCGTCTGTGGTGCTGATGTGAACACACCCGCACTAGACGCTCGATTTATGACAATGATTGGACCTTGAGGAGGCCAAGGGTAGGTTTAAATTTCAATTTACAGCTGTGTGTGTGTGTGTGGTCAGTATCCAACTCCATGTCACTGCGACTGTGATGCCATGCACCAACCACTGAGCCATCACGTGCCGCATATATAATCACGTCGACAACAAGATGCCACCGTTGTCTATATCACGGTAGTGATGTCACCATAGGACCTGTGCCAATCTGTGCCAAGATTGTCATTGAACAGGGTGAGGTTGTTATGGTGAATCGACTTGTGTCCCGGATGGCTGTGTTCAAGTCAGTAGATACTCTGCCCATTGTTGAGGCATCCCTCCTCCATCTCTTGTGGCTGCCACCAACTCACCCAGTAGCGTCATTTATGAGCCCTTTTCACAGAGGCTGAATCAGGCCCAGCTGGAAACAGGTCCATTCTACTGCAGGTCCTCACATGCTACACATGTGCAATAGTTATTGTCACACAAAATTTATTTGGGCATGCAGTGCTGAGGCATGTTTGGTGTATGATCCAGCCAGAACTAGGCATACAATTTGTGTATCGTAAAAACTGTGTCCATATTTTTCTAGTATCTGTGGGCTCCTTACACAAACCAATACTTGTTAAAGTCAGGATGGATCATAAACAGGCCTGCTTGAATGTTTCCAGTAGACGAAATATTTCTGTGAGGACTCCACGTGATGGTTATAATTGTGGTGAAATTATGTAAAGCTTCATATGGAGTATTTATGCAGGCGGTTTTCATGGCGACATGAAGATGTTAATGAGATGCACACACCCGTTTTCGCCTGAAAGATAGACCAATCAGCGAGCACATATGAAGCCTCGTTTCACATGAGAGGGGGTGGACTGGGCGTCACCAAATCCTGCCACCTTTGTCTCCCCAGGCCTGCTGTTCTCATTCGGTGCCAGGTCAACATTTTAGGGGTGGGGTTGACCATTTGAAGGCACATGCTGAGTTGAGGATACCGTTT